ATGGGGTTCGAACCCGCGACCCTCAGATTGCGAGTCAAGCGCCCTAACCACCGGGCGATGCCGGGCCAACAACGTTTCAGACATCAGCCTTTCATTGGGTTTCCAGTGAGACTAACAGCGTTAATGGAAACCCGATGAAGGGTTGTTGTCCGAAACGTTGTTTTCGTGTTCACCAATACATTTAGTTTAATTTGGCGATTTTTCACCATTACCATATTTTCTACTTTACATTTTGTAATTTCCTGGGGGGGGGGGGGACTAATCCAGTTCACACGTACAATTTTCATACGACACTTCCAAGAAAACTTTCTTTCTACTACTACAATTAAGTCAATTTATGTGGAAACGACGTGTGTAAGTTACATAAACATAAATATTAGTACTTTAAGTAATATAAAATCTTGCTTAAAACGTATTTTCTTTTACACTCTACATGTTGATAGGGGACTGCCATGCTTGCAAGTTGTAGCATGCGTTTGTCACGTGTGTGATAATCATTGCTCTCCTGAGACATCGTTGTTTTGGTAGTTCCAAGAACACTCACAAGTACGACAGAACACGGGATTGTATTGTTATTGTTTTGTTGGAGTTTGCGCTTAGCTACTCGAGAGATATCTGCGCTATCTGTCCATAATTTTGAAGTGATAGACTAGAGGGAAGTCAACTAGTCAACATCTCCCACCACCAACTCGTGGGCTACTTTTAATCGAGTAGTGAGATTTCACCGTCACTCTTATAACGCACCCACAGCTGAAAGGATAAGAATGTTCGGCGACGGTTTCGATCCCGCAGATTGCGAGTCTAGATCACTAACCACTAGGCCCTTCAGCGAGTGGACAACGAGAAGTTACAGCCATTTTGTCGTATACGTTGGCCCTCAGAGCATCATCGTTGTAGTCTATTGCTTTCAACTGCAACAAGTTGTAAATCTTCTCGAAGAACTATTGGTTCATGACAAAAGTGATATTGGAAGGAAAACAAGCGGTTTCCTTCTACTTCTTCAGATTTTTGACACGTATTTCACACTCAAGTTGCTGTTATTGGTTTTTCTCGAGGCGAAACAGTTAATACAAAGCCTCAAACTTCACTTTCATCAAACAGAAGTGATAATTAAGACATTTAAAGAAAACTCAGCTTCGTGAGGGATTCACTCACTTTGGGGCAAAAACAACTGAAGCTGCAGAAGATCTCAGTTTCCAAAAGAAGTGTTATGAAGTAACAGATTGTTCAATACTTCTCTATGCAATCGATTTACTTCTGCAGTGTTCAAACGCATGATAGGAAGTAAACGTTTATTATTGGAGTGGGTCACTGCAGGTAATTTTCAAACTTTTAAAAAAATGACTTTGACGCAAGCAGACTGCAGTCACATCACGATCTTTTCTTTGATATTGCAAAACAACGTAGTATTCACCTGTCAGCCGCAGCTTGTTGTATTTGTTTAAAGCTGATAAAAAATAGCATTTACTATATGTGTGATTTATTTGCACATCAATATCACTTGTTATTGATGTGACCTTCTGCATCCAATTGCACTTACTATACTTATGACTTCTCGCACATCAGAAAGATGTTTTGCTAGTCTTAGTAAGATAAAAACCTACTAGCGGTGGACAATGGAGCAAAAAAGATTGAAACACGTCGCCATACTACAGTGGTTCTCAAAGTGTGGTCCAAGCTCACTGGTGATTCGTGAGGGTCCTCCGGTGGTCCGTGGCTACTCCAAAATGCAAGTCACTGACGCGCAATGCCACGGCCGAGGCCAGATGAGAGGACAGAACAAGTGGGGTAGGACTGGTAGGTGGTCAGAGGGGTCTTTTGCCCCGCTGAAGTGGTCCGCGAAGGAAAACGTTTGAGAATCACTGTCACACTACATGACCACAGTTACCTTGTCAGAAAGGTCAATCTTAATGTGGTGGCGAATGATTTTATTACGTGGTCAGCTTCAAGGCGCAACACCTTTCACTCAGAAGATTAAGACCACTTAAGTAAGTTGAAAGTTTTTTATTTGTATTTTGAAATTGTTTTGATTTTTCCTTTTGAACATACGTACTGCAACCGTCTGGAGTTTAAGATAAGTCTGTATAAGTACTGTAGTTATTAAGTTAAAATGAGTAAAACTAGTCTAAAGAATCTGAATGAGTTTGTTGGGTATTTCAATTAATCGAGTTATCAGAAAAGAATTTATTCGCCATTCGTGGTATGTTTTTTTTGTTTTTTGTTTATATTAGGTTTTCATTTATTTACTTAGTTCTTCTCGGATTATGTTTATTATGGAAGTTTGCTGT